ACGGTTAGGCCTGGACGGCTAGCTAGACCGTTTGGTCGGGAGTTTGATTATGTTCATGCATGCACGTCAGTAGTTGTGTCCCATATTTTTGAATATATAAAATTAGTAGTTGTATATTTTCTTGGGGAAATGCTACTTTGACTAAATAGTTATATATATATATATATATATATATATTTATACATATATAACTATCATTTTTGAAAATGTGTTATGTGTAAATTTGTTGTAAAGAAAAGGTACATTATACATAAATTTGTTGTAAAGAAGAGGTAAATTAATTCAATCATGGTAAATAAGTTGCAAAGCCGTTTGGAGAAACTGAAACATCTGCCGATGAGTGGATGACTCTTGTTGTTTCTTGCACAAAGCATTAACACTTTTTTCTCAAACAGAAGATTCACAGAAATTATGTATACGTAAGTAACAAAGCATAAGACAAACTGACATTTTTCAAACATTTTGTTTTCTTAACTTTCTTTAGGCCCAAATTACAATTTCAGCAAAGAGACATTGAATTATATAAGAAAAAAAAGGAAAACTAAAAAAAGAGCTAAATCTCTGCATCTAAAAACAGAGGAGCTTTCTTTTATGAAGTAAGGCATTTTTGACATTTTTTCTTTCTTATTTGCATCTTAATAATCCTCACTTTCTCTTTTAAATTTTTTGTTTGCCCATACAAGACTCAAGTTTTCATCATCATACAGATTTTTGTTGCATCTCAGCAGCACCCATGTTAACAGCTTCATCAGGTATGAACCTTCCCCAGAACCAGTGTGCCTTCCACACTCTGTTCATCTCTTCGATTGGCACATTCTTCGTCTCAGGCAACATCATGTAGATGAATATTGTCATTATGACGACAAAGAAGGCGAAGAAGAAGAATAGTCCGAATTTCATGTGACAGAGCATAGTGAGGAAGAGCTGAGCCACTAGGAATGTGAAGAACATGTTCACCGCTACGTTTATGGCTTGAGCTGCTGATCTGATCTCTAGTGGAGATATCTCACTTGGAACCAACCATCCCAACGGTCCCCATGACCAGGCGAAACCCGCTACGTAGATGCAGATTAGTGCCACGATCAGATTAGCATCTGTTTTCCCTATGTTCCCTGTTCCAGCCACTCCGAATTTGACCCCAATCATGATTCCAATAGCAATCTGCAAAACGACCCGTTGGTTTGAGATTTAGAGTGTCAATAAAGAAACGTATAGTAGGGTTAGGGTTAGGGGTTGTGTTACCTGAGAGATAAGCATTTGGATACCTCCTTGGAGGAACAAGATTCTTCTTCCGAACCTATCCACTGTGAAAACAGAGACGAAGGTACACAAGAGCTCGATGATGCCGGTTACCATAGCTGATAGGAGGGAGGCTTTGCTACCGAACCCGAGGGTTTGGAACAAAACGGGTGCGTAGAAGGTAATGACATTGATTCCGGTAAGTTGTTGAAAGAAAGGAATGAAGCAAGTCATGATCAGTTGTGGTCTATAACGAGGAAGCAAGATGTTCCTCCATGGGTGTTTCACTTGCTTAGACTCCTCACTTGCATCAATGAGATCTTGGAATTCTTCATCAACCTCATCTGTTCCTCGGATGGATTGAAGCATTTTCTTTGCCTCTTCGGTATAGCCACGTTCGATGAGCGAGTTAGGAGTGTCGGGAAGAATCAGGGCTCCGATCATGATCATCACTGCAGGGACACAAGCTAATCCGAGAGAAATTCTCCATCCGATGTTTCCTTTCATCTGAGCGGTGAAGTAATTGATGATCGTTGCAACGACAATACCAAAGATAATGGCAACTTGGAACCCGTTGTTAAAAGCTCCTCTTAGATTCGGAGGAGCCATTTCTGATAAATAAACCGGTACAGACTGAAACAAAAAGAAAAAAGACCAGTTAACCAAGCTGCCAGTGTTACTTCTTTATCAAGCTACTTCAAACCATGAGGAGGAAAAACAAAAAAAAAAACGTTTTCAGAACTTACTTGATTGGCGAATCCGACTCCGAAACCGAGTAGTATACGACCGATGAGAAGCATAGCGATGTTTTGGGCAAAGCCGTTGAAAGCAGAGCCGATGAAGAAGGTGAAACCACCGAGGAACATGGACCATTTCCGACCGAAAACTCGAGTAATGGTGGAGGCGAAGAGAGAAGAGATCAAAGCCGCCACATAGAGAGAAGAAGTGAAGAGAGTGAGAAGCTGACTATCGAATCGACAGTACTCGTTCTCATGTGCGCTCTTCATCTTCTTATACACGTAAGGAAAGAACTCTTCCAAGAAAGGCTCCATCGAGGTTACCCCTCCTACAAGAAATGAGAAAAATAATTAGTCACTGGACATTTCCTTAGATCAAAGAATAACAAAGACTTGAGAATCTGAGAGGAAAAAAAAAAAACCTGAGATCCCAAGATCGTATCCGAAGATGAGACCACCAAAAGCACCGATGAAACATGTTACGAACACTTTCGGTGTCAGTTTGTAATTATAGTTACGAACACCCGGCGTTTGACTGACGAACCCTCCGGCCATTTCTCCGATTTGAGCCAAAGAAACAAAAGATTTGCTTAAAACGGCGTCGTGGAAGACTCGGTGTTTGTTGTTGTTGACTTTGTCTCTCTCTGTGTTTCAGACAGAACAGAACAGATCTTGTTCTTCGTCTTCTTCTGTTTGTTGTTGTTTTGTCTTCCCTCCTCAGATAAATTACTGAGATCTGGTTTTAGATTTCTTTCGGACAGAGAAAACAAAAAGAAGAAGAAAGAAAAGAGTTGAGATTGAAAAAAGAAAGAAGATTAGAGTTGAAATTTATAGCATTCGTCAAAATAAAATTAACTGTCGGCTGACTTTGAGGTTTTAGAAAAGAAAGAACAGCTGTTTCTTCTCCCTTCTTCTTCTTCTTCTTCTTCTTCCCCACTTGCCTATTCCTCTGGATCTTATCTCCTTCCATTAATCTCGTGTCTTTTTTTAGTCTTTAACCAATCTCATTTAGTTTTAATTCACATAAATCCTTTTGTCTTTTTCTGTTTTGTAATGTTTATAAACTTCGTTTATTACGAGGAATAAATTTTATCAACAATACTTTAGACAGTTCACCATATTATTGGACTTCGAAAACATATAAACACACGAAAAAGTCGTAGTTTGTGTAATACTAAATAATATAAACACTCTTTACTTTTCCACTAGAACTACAATCTTGACTCAATTAAAAGCTATTTTTGATTTTTCTACAAGTGACAGATACTTTTTTTTTTTTTTTTTTTTTGATGTTTTGTGGTACTACAGTGAGTAAACGCCCGCAAAACTCGGTCAATAGACAGAGAAGACCGCTACTATATATATATATTTTTTAGTATTTTAGATAAGATCTTTGATTGGATTTTCCCTTTTTCATATTTAAAAGTAGATACAAAAATCTATTTTCGAATTTCAAACTAAAAAGTATAGAGTAGTTATTATTATTACTTATCCATCTTTTTGAAACTAAAAAAGTTGGTATGGAGTTTTTCTAATATCTATCCAAAACTTGAGGCCATTTGATATCTAAATAACCTTTTTTACTCGTGACAGCCTTTCCAATTCACATGCATGGATCTATCATGAATGTTACGTTTTTGTATTATCCACGGAATGGGGACAAAAATTTAGTTTTCTAATTGATATTTTATTTAAGAGCATATTGTACGTCAAATTGACTTATAAGATAATGTTTCTGTGTCAGAGGTTATTCAACCAAACTGTGTTATTTAAAACAGTTGGACCTGTGGGTTTCTTATTGATTACGATGGAAAGATAAAAGTTGACTATCGCTATTTTTCTAATGAATTATTTCGTGATTTATACGTACGTACGTTGTTCCATATATACTTTTTATTCGTATTACGTTGCTTTCTTCTACTCCTTTGATTTAGTTTACATTGGAAAGTCAAAATTCGCGTTACATTATTTTCATCATGTTCCCACAAAACTTTCGTCATCATCATGACTATCATATTTATAAATGATATATATCGCTTACATAACGACGTCTGCAGTAATAACGACGTTATGCTTATGCATACAAGGATATGTTTCCTTTTTTCATGTAAAAGGGTGTGATATAAAGCTTATGTGTCTGCATCTGCTAGATATTTAGAGTAAACTGTGTAATAGACTCAGTGCCAGTATGAATCAATCAATCTACATGTAGCTAGATAGAAGTGTGTATAGCTAACTAGACAATTAGGTGATTCGATCACATGCGTCAAGCCAACTTGACTTTTAGATGTATGTGTGTATTGCAGATTATTATATTTTTACTGAATAAATCAACGTTAGCTGAATAAAACAAAATATCAGAAAAGAATAAAACAGGACAACAAAACATAAAGAGGAAGAACAATTCGAATAACGCTAGACAACCAAATTAAACACTCGTCGTACATGTACAACATATATATATATATAAAATAATTTTACAAATTTAAAAATAATTAGGAATCTTAGCCGAACAACGAAAAATTAAAGGTGTTTGATGGTACTAATTTGCTTTTGGTCTTGTAATTAATTACAATAATTCAAACTACCCAAGAAATGCAAACGGTCCACCAATGACCAATGTATAATCAAGGAACTAACTATTTCTCTGACTACAAGAAATATGAATTCGGTTAGCTCTAGAGAAATGCCTATATATAAAACTTGATTATAATTAAACAAACACACAAATTTCAAAACTAAATAAGTTAAATTGAGTGACCGACTAATTAATTATATATATCCAGACTATATATATTGTACATATATAGTATAACTACTGACCAGCGAATTCCCCTGATTTTTTTTTTTTTTTTTTTTTTATTATTCAGGGTAAATCCCCGGATCTATGGAAGGATCCGAGACTAATCCCTGGGGAGAGGGTTATCCCACGGGTAAGGTCCCCTCTAGTTTTTCAAATGGGCCTTAAGCAATAGGCCCATACCTATGTGATCAAAGGGATAACATTCCACTACGAATACAAAGTTCTTCGAATTCCCCTGATTGAAACCACGAATACAAAGTTCTTCGAAAAACATTCCACTACGAATATATATGAACTAATCATATGATACACTCCAATAAATATAACACTTGTAAGGAAGAATATGAACTATATATCCACTATCGTGTAATTTTGTTGTCACCAATGATATTTTTACTATTTAACCTAGCTACGTGAAAAAAGAAAAAAAGAAGAAGAAGAAACGACGGCGTATGCCAGCGTCCCGACAAAGATTTAACCGACAATACATAAAATGGGGTTACACGACGACGAGAACACACACACCCGTGGATCATATAGGCGGTGCATCTCATCATATACTTTGGAAAGAAGAAATATCCAAACCAATCTCTCTCTTCATATATATAACATAAACAGATCGAGCATTAATTCATTTCGTTAAGAGAGACAACAACAGCAACAAAAAAGAGAGAATAATCATGTCGTCGTCGAGGGAGCTACAATACTTGGAGTACACATACAGGAACAACCGTCCCACGACGGGTCTCCTCAACTCCATCTTCATGACCACCGTCAACACCGCCGCTCGTTCCCTCGTCTCCGTCGCCTCCACCGCCTCCACGCCGGAGGTTCCTTCTAGGCGGTGGTCGGCTTCGGACCACCTCAGGTTCATGTCTATGATGATGACGTGGCTCACCCTTTGGGTCCTTAGGGTTTTCTTGGACTATCTTCCTCTCCCTCTCTCTTCTTCTTCCTCTTCTTCATCTTCTTCTGCTTATTCTTATTCTTATCCTCCCTTTAGTTTCGCTTCGGGTCTTCTTACCGCCGCTGCGGAGAACGCGTTGGTCCCTATAAAGGCGTCCTCCACGTCATCAACGGCGTTGGTGAAGTATTCAGGGTCGTCGGATCTGGGTACGATGATTTGTGATGGGGTTGATGAGCCTTCCGCTAACTCCCTCGGTAGAGCACTTTGTCACGTAAGTGTTATATTTATATGAATATCATCTTTCATTATTTAGTGTAGTAAACATTAATTCGTTAATACCTCGTTTAGAAATTTTTCACTTGTTCGCTTGGGTCTAACTAAGACACATGATTAATTACATGTAGACGTTTGTCTGTTGTTAACACAACTTTTTATTTGTATAACTCGATCTTAACCGAAATGAAGTATTTTCTCTACGGAAACTATTATTTATATTTAAAATTTATATATTTTTGTTGGAGCTTTCTATTTTGGGATACTCCACGAAAGTGCCTAACGTGGACACTACACCTCTGTTATTTCCACATGGACGACATGCATAGCTCCACCTCATACATGAAAAAACAATAACAAAAAGAGCAGTGAAATCATAGCTAGGTTCGATTAATCAAAAACTCGGGTGGTTTTTGTCTTTCTTGTCACTTCTCTAATTAATTAGTGTATTAATTACTATAGTTAGTAGTGGCGTGACATTCGTATTTAGTAATCATCTTTAAAATTAATTATATGTGGGAGCTCTTCTAATCATTGGGACTCTTAATTAGTTAGATGAATGAATATATGAACATTTAACTTTGCATTTATCAGTTTTAATTTTAGTTTAAAAACTTTGCAACCATTTGGATATAGAGTTTGACTACTTGGCGTTTTATGCATCTTAACATGTTTTCACGAATAGGCACTAGCGCTCATGAACGAGATTCCGGTAACCTCAAGAAAATACCAATTTGCCATGGGAATGGCTGAGAAGATCATGGAAGACAACGCCCAGAGCGGCCACTTGGACTTACTCGACGTCAATAGAGCGGCCCTTGCGTCCTCCTTTGCACGCACCACCGCACGATTGCAGGACTGCTTGAAACGCTCTCGAACCGCAGATGAACCCTTCGGTGGTTTGCCGCTGCGTTTGGTCGGGGCCCTCCCTCTGGGCGGCTACGTCACCTCATACGTGAGAGGGTTAAGCGCATGTATCAACACTGTCAGGTCCTTAGCCGACATGACGGGGAACTTGTTATCGCAAAGTAGGAGGAGAGAGTCTGCGGTTGCCAGAGCTGGTGGTTCCCAAGAACAAGAGGCTGAACTAGCGGTGGAGAAGCTTGCGGAGGAGCTGCTGTGGATGACAGAGAAGCTTAGGCGTTACGGTGCCGTGGCAGAAGGGATTAAGCGGTGGAGCTACGCTTCCGGTTTAGCTTCCTTGTCTCTCACGGCTGCTCCCAGGGTCCAAGGCCTCATGGTTAAGATTTCAGGCAAGTATATATATTCAGGTTTTTATGGTTTACCATTTCTTATTTAACGTTGATTTTGGATAACATAAGAAAAAGTAAATTCTAATTATATTATTTAGTTTTTTAAGTATAAACTGAATGTATTTTTTAGTAATAACAATAGGCCCAAGTTTCATTGGACTATATATCATAAGAATTGTTATTTACAGTAGTTTGGTTTTGTGTAGGTAGGAACTTCTGCTAATTTTCGGATTATATATACACTGATACACATGCTCACTAATTCATAAAATCTTGACATGATCTGTGGTTTTCTTACAAACTCAAAATATTTTGCAGCGCTCTTAATTGGAGAGTTAGCAAGAGACAGCACACAAGTTCCGGGACAAGTGACGTTCAGGCTCCTTGCAAACTGGTTACCACTGTTTAGTCATGCCAGGAACGGGCTAGCATTTCCCGTGCTGACGGGTTATGAGAGAGTTGAGGTGGAACGAGCCATAGACAAAGCAATCTCGACTTTACCTGCATTGGACCAAGAAATTCTACTCACAAACTGGCTCCAAGATTTCTCAGTCTCGGCCTCTGAGTGGCCCAATCTTCAGCCAGCATATGACCGTTGGTGTCACTCCACTCGCCAACTTTTCATCTAGACTACCGAAACAAAAGCCATGATAATGGTCATGTTCCAAAGAGGAAAAACTACTTTTCTTTCATACGAGTTTCGGTGATAGCTTCTCTGTCAACAAATTTATCTTAGCCTCTTAGGTAATAAGACAAGTTTCGATCTATTCATAAGTTTCAGACCTAAGCCCTTGCGATGTTTGTCTGAGTTACAAAATTCTAGCTTTTAGGTTCTTTTTTAGATGAAAAACCAGATTATCCTCGCTATCCACGGTAGCATCGACGTGAACATCAATGAAATAGACACTTACTATGTGATAAAGCTATATTCTAAAAAGGCAAATACGGAAGCAGATGAATGCGAATACTAAAAACGCTAGAGAGAGTTCCAATCTTTGAGACTGTATAAAAGATCCAAGGAAATCTGGTGATGTTTTCTTTTTGTTTATAAAAAGTGTACAAACAGACAGCTAAGGTTTTGACGTTCTTAGCTTATGATTCTTTTTTTCTTCTGAATCTTTCTTCCTTTGCTCTCATCAGCTTTGTCCAGAGGTGGAAGTTGAAACTTCTGCGCTGCATACGGGGCAAACCTGCAGAAGATTGTGTCAGTTTCAGTTTGTTAATGGAGTTCCGAAAGCTCTTCCTACATGAATGTTGAAAAGAGATTCTAAAACTGCTGGTTTGTAAGCTAAGAATTTCTTATTCCCAATAGTTGATGGAAGCCGATGAGTTTATTCAACATACTGTAGATAGTCTTCCTAAGGAGCTAACAAGTTCAAATTTCTGCTTATCAACAACAAAACTCCTCAGTTTCGAAGATGCTGATGAAGACAATCGGCAAACGTATAAATGCAATCCATAAACCCAACAAGCATGAGATAGTCTGTACTGACCATAAAGTTCCCTAATCCCTATCATAAACAGATAAGATTTCTGGAAATATCATGTGCTGTGCCGGTTTTTCTAGAATATATCTATCTATAACAAAATGGGTATCTGTCGAGTGATAAAAACTGACCTCCCTGATTGGGCTTCAGGTTCCAATTAGCTGACTACAATAATTATATACTTTAGCTTCTCTACAGGGTTATTTTTCATAAAAGACATACCTTGTTTATCTTCAACCAGTTGTTTATGCACTCCGAGTGGTAAGAATGTTTGCATGGGAGCAGTATCAGGTCATCGTCAACCTCATAGTCTAAACGACATATAACACATCTGCACCAAGCATTGAAAAAGTTAATATCTAAGTACATATGCACAAAATTGTTAATGGTTTACTTCATTGGTCCCAAAAAAGGCCTTACGACTCATTGGTTCCGTTCTGATTGTCTCCATCTTTATATCTTTTTGAAGTCAAAGATGCAATTGTATCAGCAGACAATCCTCTGCTTTCGGTTCCCACAATGTCGCCAAGTGCAAGCAACTCCTGTAGGCATTAGCAAGTCTAGTTATAAGCCAACAGATGTGTTGAGTATATAAATTATGCATATTGAATATTGAAATGCATGACGGATCTTAAAACAAGAATCTAACAAGTTTAACAATAGCATTCACATTAAACTTCAAACCATTTAACAAAATCATGAGGAGAGACCGAGAATCCAAAAAGCATAGAATACCACAAATGTTTATGTACCTCATACGAAAGCTCATCAGGATCCATCTCATCCCAGGCATCCTGCAAAAATAATCACACAGAACGTGAGTGGGGCAGATTCAAGCCACATCAATGAAGCCTTAGTTTCTATGATTCTCTACCCTGCAATTATATATTTCAGTTGATTTTTTCCACAAAATGGACTATCAAAGTTCAGTGCACCGCAAGGTCTCAGGATTCGCGGTGTGAGCATAACCATCTCCAATACCAGTGAATAGTCAAGGATTCAAGGTGTTAACGCTAGCATATTACAATTGATTCAATTACCCTCTGGTGAATGCATTTTGACCTTGAAACATACCATTGCGCAAAATTCTAGTAGCAAAACCCACAGACTAAACTTTCACGAAACAAAACACTCTAATGCCAGATAGAAGGATAGTAGATATATGGAAGCATGTAAAATGTATCACTTAGACAATATGGGTTTTATGTCACTACTTTGTCCTTTGGCCACTATATTACTAAACAAAAAAGGGGTTGGAAAGTAGTTCTTTACACATACGGAGGCAAAAAGGTTCATATTCTCAAGTACAAAAACTGAAAAAGGTTTACAGCTAAAGATATAAAAGGATTTGTTGTAGTTTAAGGAGCCTACCTGAGAAGTATGACTCTCATCCTCTACATCTTCAACCCCTGCAACCAGTAACAGCAGTTAGCCTAATCCCAAACCCATCCTAGAACGCCCATCAAAGAGAACTTGGGTGATAGTTATAAACTCACGATTTGCAAACCCAGATAAAGCAGACAATCTAGCTGCCATATCCCTTTCTTCAGCTTCTTGAAGAGCTCTAGCATAGGCCTCATCATCTGAATAAGCAACTTCTTCAATGTCAGAGTTGCCGTCATCTTCTTGATCATTTTCATTGGCGTGAACATCGGGTGCATCTTCCTGAGGATCATTATCTGTTTCATATTCGTCTTCATCGTCATCCTCATCCTCATTCTCGGGGTCATCAAACTCATCCTCATCGTATACATAACTTCCAGTTTCCCAGCTCCCATAGTCACTGATTTCACTATTCATGGTCAGCATCATATACGCCCGTTCCTGAAACCCGAAGAACAGTATTCAAATAGACTCCCAATTCTACAGAAACCCTTAGGAAAATCCAAATTCCAAATGCAATTAAAGAGAAAAGGCGATAAGCAATGAATAATTCCGCGTATCCAGGAGAACAAGAAGCAAACGAAAGCCCTAACAGCATCCCATAACCTAAGAAAATGCAGAAATCCCAAACGATGGATAGGAAAGAAAGACCCACCTGTTCTTGGAGTGTGCGAGCAAGAGCAAGATCTGCATCAATTTGGCTAAGATTAGAGAAGGGAACTCTAGCGGAAGAAGATCGGGGAGGTAGCTCTGCCACCAAATTCGATCCGCTCTCTTCCACGGTGACCGCCACCGCCACTGGCGTCTCTCCCTCCCCTTGCTCTCCTATCTCGCTACCACTTGCGGCGTCTGTGACAACAACGGTCTGCCGATTCTCCGGCAAGCGCACCTCAGTCTCGCTGATCTTGGTGGCTTGCTCGGCGGTGACGACGACGTTGCTAGCGTGGCCATTGTCGTTCTCCATGGGCATGATTGAAAAACCTGGGGTCTTGGAATCCGAATTCGATGAGTATATTGGGGATTTGGAATCGAAAGGGAATTATTAAGGAATCTGAGAAAACGATGAGGACACGACCCGAGAAAGGGAAATGGTGCTTCTCTTCTCTTCTCCTTTAGCTGAGATTTCAAATTTTGAAAAATATGCACAATTTTCTTCGAAATCACACCCCTTTAGTTTTTGTTTCTCTCTAAACTCACCGACTAATATATAATTTATTACCATTTACGCCTCTACCTTTTCTTTTTCTTTTTTGCGTTTAATTTTTACATTTTTTTCTTCTTAAATATACGTTGACATCTGTTTTTAAATCAGTTTTTAGCTTTTGATTCTACAAAATTTATTTTATTAAATGACTTTAAAATATAGATTTATTAAAATTAGAAAATCCAAGTTTTAGAAGATTTTACTAATTTCCTTTTAAAATCCAAACGTGAAATTTTCCATTTTCCATTTTTTAGTTACTAATTCACTAAGTCACTAGAGGTATTATGTGTTAATCCAAGAATCATAAATATGTACGAGATATTTGAAACCTCTATCATAACCGGAAATTATTGTATTATCTTTGTGGATCCAAATATTTATCTTATATGAGAAAAAGATTCAATTGTCAATTACAAAAAGAAGGGTTAAAAGCTTTGATTTTGACTCAGTAAATAGTTTCGATTGTTCAATTATGTATGTTGTGTTACTTATATTGGTACTGTAAAATGTTATAGCTTGAAATCTAAGGTATATACTAATACTGTATGTGTCGATGTTGTATGAAAAATATTCAGATAATGAGACGAGCAGAGACCAAGTGGATATTACGTGTGAATATGTGTGTGGAATGGCCGAAACGCCACAATTTTTTTAGCTGAAACGTGCAAGTTAACATAATTTGATATATATATACAATTGTTGTGCTTCACTGAAAATAAAATAAAAAATAACACTTTGGCTTGTTTGGTTAATAATGCTTTATTAATAACTAATTCATTTTTAATTTTATAATGTTTTCGAGGATTATTCATTACTCTTTCTCTTTATTTTATTATCTTGGTATTGTAGTGATATTTTTTTTATATAAAATATATTACATTTATACAATTCGGATTGTGAATTTGTGATACGTACATGTCGAAACCATTACACCAAAAAATATTTTGTATTAAAACTAAATATATATATTATATATCTAAATTTTTTTTTGTTTGTCTTCGTGTATTTTAATTTGAATTTTAGACGTGTTTTCTTGCACATAATATTAATTTTCTAACTTTTAACAAAGCTTTTATGATATATAGCAAAAATGAGAACTATACGCTACGTTTAGAGTTTCATTTTTGTTTCCTCCCTCACCGTTCATTCACTGATTTTTTTGTTTGTTTTGTTTTTATCTCTTAGTCCTCCCTTCTCCTAATCTCCTCTTCCGCAGCAACGCCGCCGTGCTCTTCCTCAGCTCTTCCGGCGGTAAGATTATTATGTTTTCCCTCAACTTCTTGGTAAATTCTAAAATTTTTTAAGTTTCTGGCTTCATTGGTTCTCTCCCCTCACTTGTTTATGATTTGTCGCTTCTCAATATTTCCTCCGATAGTTGCTGCTTAGTTAGCAGAACATCATCGATTTGTAGATGATTCTCTTATTGATTACGATGAACGAGGCTCAGATTTTACCAATTATTACACGTTATTATCTATGAATCTTCTCTATATCAGGAACTTTTGCTTTGGTTTCTCTAGTTAGATAGCTCTCTGTGTTCACAGTTGGTTTGAGAATTAGATGCATTATCTGTTAGATTCTTTGAATTGCAGAAAAAGATATATTTGGTTTGATAGTTTCAGTACTTTACAGGATATGATGAGCATTGTCTCAAGTCATCATCACTGTCAACCATCGATTATACACGAACCATGCGGTATAGGAACAATACCTAAGGTTTCTTGTTCGAAATCTTGCGTTCCGTGTTTCTCTGGAAGATTTGCTTTCTCTCATAGTCTCTGCTTGAAGAGTACTTGTGGGAAAACTGCTAGGAGAAGCTTTTCAAGAATTTGCAGTGCTGTGGATGATGGGATGACTCCAGATAATTCGAATGACGAGGAGAAGGAATCGCTCGATGATAAAATTAAAAGGGTATGTAAAAACTCTAAGCATTGTTACTCCTGGCCAGTTTTTGCTATCCTCTTGGGTGAAGTCATGAAGTCATGACTTGACATTTAAGCGTAAACTGATGCCGCTGAGACATAGTTTTTGTGTGCTTATTACACTAGAATTGTGTTAAATAGTCAATGGAGTTTTAACAAGCCTTTTTGTACATGAAAGCCTCAAACTTTTTCGTTGTGAGATTACTAAGAATGTAATAGAATGTCGATCTTCTTCTGCTTGAACCTGGAAAAATTGCATAGTTAAATGGTGTGTTGAGTTCTTTTGATGTCATGATATCTGGCCATCTCTGTCCTGACTTAGTGACAGAACGTGGAAAGTAAGCATGCCTTTGTTTAAATTTACTGATTTCTATATTCATCTGATCAATTTTGATTTTTTTCTTTTGTCTTTAGCAAGCAAATGATATGAATCGGGCAAATCTTGAAAGAATGGTTGGGTCGGATGATTCTGCATTTAACGGCTTAGATCTTGCGACACTCATCAGACAGAAGTATGGAAGATCTTACGATGTTCAACTCATCAAGAAGGTATGCCTTATTGCCTTTCTGTGTTCAAGAGTGTTTGTGATTCTATATTGCATGTTAAAGCCATAGCTTAAGCCTTTATCTGCTAATTACTTAAAGGTGAAGAAAAAAGTTGAGACCTCCGATCCTCTTCTCTTAATTGCATGAGTACAGAGTCAGCTGTTGAGAATAACTGTCCATGTTCTGTTTAGTATTCAGTTTCTTGCTGTGACCTTTATATATTGATGTGTAATGATTTGTCGATTAGAAGCTAAGAACTTAAATCATAGTTCTTAGATGTGATTAATGTAGGAGTTCATGGGGAGGAATCTTCTTGCAATGAATGTCATGTGGAAGTACAGAGAACAGGTAAAAATCCATTGCTATGTTTTGATCATAATAGAAGCCTAATGACATGATAGTTCAACTGATTCTACTATACTTGGTCGAATAAGATGGTTATGATATATTTTTCAATATAATATGGATTTTGGTTTGAGAATGTTTGCCACATAAAAAGTTTTATGTATATCCATATTTTGTTGGTATAGTATCTTGCCTATGAAAACCAATACTTGTAAGCTAATTCACCATTCTGTCTTTCTTTCTTCTTCTTCAATGCCTAGAGGTCTTTTCCTCTAACCGAAGAAGAATATATACTGAGACTTGATGATGTAGCCAACATGTTGAAATGCTGGGGTGCAGTCTCACATATCCGTAACAGCCTAGCAAAGTCGAAGGAGCGACCTCGGATAGGGAAGGTGAGATCAAGTCTAAAAAGTAACCTTAAAATACAGACATGTATATTAGCTAGATCAACTTGGTTGATAAGAGACAACGTTGATACTTGAAAACCTTTTTTTTTCTTTTCCAAGTGTTAAAACTGATATGGGTGGTTTCTCCTCTTCGCACAGGCTGTCAGTATTTTCATAGACATGGATTCGACAGGGGGACGAGCAAACGAATGGATTTACAAGTAAGTTTACCTTCATCAACTCGTTCTGAAGGCTCTTGGGTGGTGATGGTGATTTGAAACAAAGGTTTTTGATATATTTGATGTGCGAAATCAAATTATGATATATGTACAATGTGTGTATACAATAGTTAGACACAAATCTTTACATGAACCATCTCTTTGTAAAATATAATGTTGAAATCGAATCATCTTTGTGAATCTTCCACTCTCTTTGTGATTTGGAAATGTAGCTAGCCACATGCCACATGCTCATATTTTCCTCATTTAGTTTTGGGCCTTTCGACATTTATGTTAGTTTTGGGACCATTCCTTGAGTAACATTCATTGGTATCACTACTTTTCTAAGATTTTTTCAGAGTATTGAGCAAAGCTTTGAGATCTGCATTTCGCTATAACTTAAATGAATTTACATTATTAACTGTAAGATACTTTAAAAACAGAAAAAAATAGTTAGAGACTACAACCAAACATTATGTTGGGACGTCGTGATACTTTTTGATACAACACATAATGATAAGTGCTTATCTTCATCATCATTATCATCACACTCATCCACCTCCACGTCCTACATCATCATTAGTTTGAGGTTAGTTTGTATTTTTTTTTTGTATTAAAATGAGAAAAAAGATCATATCATCATTATCATAATTACTATTATTGATGATGTTGTCACATCACGATACACATCATGACTCACACATCATCAACGTATGCTTCTTAACTTCATCATCAAAATTCAATAGGATCTCCTCTCTTCCTAATCAACCACAACCACTAACAAGTAAAACATCTTCATCATCTCTTTACCATCCCCATACATCCTCATCATCATCATCACCCACCCCCTATTTCTTTTCTTTTTTCAATCAATATGTATGGCCATCTTAATTAACTGTTGCTTATATTAGTCCATACATAAATGCTCCAACTAAACAATTTTTTTTTTTTTTGTAAGTTTTGATCAATAACAAGCATTTTCACGCAAATTTGCGATATTTTATAAACCATAACATGTGTGAATGCTACTGTCTATATATATCGCATGTAAAAAAAAAAAAAAACATTGCGTCGTTGAGTCATGTGAAGTAACTTTCTTTATTTAAAATATAAAATTAAGTTAAATCATTTTTTTAAATTTTCATAATTCCACTATTTTATTATTCTGTCACCAGTTAGTATTATTACCATCAAAATTAAAAGTTTTTGATTTCTGTTCAGATTAATGGGGAAAGAAAAAAAAAATCATTTCCAATTAGAAAGTGAAGCTAGTTTGACCAAAAAGGTAAAATTTACAAAGCCTTTCGCTTTTTATTACCTTCTCAAAACTCAAAACTTAAAACTCAAAAACCAGAGTCTACTCATCTTCACAACCACAATTCTCCGGCGAACCCAACGTTCCCGGCTATAATATTCACTCTGTCGACGGCGATATAACCGACGACGGCGTTTCATGGTTGCAATTTGTAACCAAGATACTCATCTTCAATCCAATTCGGACCAGTAAGGATTCCGTACAGTAAAATCACAATTCGTCTCTGTAACAGCGATCTCTACGACTTCAACGAGACACGCTACTGTTCCAATCCGTTTTCCCGACGCCGGAAACTGACTCGGAATCATGGAAACCTAGAGACGTATGGTTGGTTGGAGTGGCGATGCACCGGCAGGGCTCGTCTCCGATTACGCCTTTAAGCTTTAACGCCGCCGTTTCAATTGCTTCTGATGTACCTAGTGGCTTAACCAAGTCTCCTTTGTCTCACGCGATTCCAGTTTCGCCGATTTCTGCTGCTTACCCGTCTGGTGATCCTATGCTGATGATGTCTGGGAGTGCTCTCGCTAGGGTTCGATTATCTGATATTTTGCCTTATGAAGGAGCTCCTTCTCCGGCGTATGCTAAAGCCGTAGAGGCTTTGTCTGTATCTTTGATGAGGTATAATGCCTCTGTGATCGAACTAGGGAGTGAAGACACTGCACTGATTCGATGTGGCCTTGAAGCTGCTCGTTTGTATTTTAGAACTAGAAGCCTTAATGTTTCTGGTAAAGGCAATCGTGGCCTCTCTATGTATAGAGCTGGAAGGTTAGCTCTTTTGTAACTATTGTTTGTTTTTTCTTTGGAGAAAGAATTGGCCTTGCTCTTGTATTGAACAATTGGTTTGATTGTAAAGTCTGACATTTAATTATCAGTTTTTGATGTATATGATGTGTAGTGACTGATTTTTTTCTTGTCAACAGGTCTGTTGAGGATTTAGATTCTTCGCCACCATGCATGGCTGAGATTTTCCGGTGCTTGGGTAAAGTAGCACGAGCTGCTTTATCTGCAATAGCAAGGCATCTACGTCTAAGAAGCGAGTAGGATGGTTATGATGCTTATTCTCTGGTTTTACTACTACTTGTTTCGCCTTCCTACTTTGATCAACTCATAAAATGAGCATATACCGTTTGTTCTTTTCTCTTTGCAGTGTTTTTAACCATATGCTGGACGACTTTCCACTAGCTCCGAATGAGGTTTCCTCCTCGGTGCTACTGGCTTCCTATGCTCATGCCTCAATCCAAAATGGAAAATATGCTTCTGGAGGTGGCAGCCTATCTACTAATATTGAAGTTGAAAAGGGTTTGTTGACAATGTTCTGCTCAGATGGCACTGGCATTCAGGTCACATCTATGAACTTTCACTGTGTAGAAGGCTATATATATGCTTTAATTATAGCGAGGAACTTGATGGGAAACGTGCCATTGTTTATCCTTTGAGCAACAAAATAGTTAGACATGACCAGCCATAATCCTGAGTTTCCAATTTGCTTGATTTGTGACATTGTTCCATTTACATAAAGTACATTTGGAGGGTTCTATGTTTTGTTCCTTCTGAAATTTCTTCTATCCTTAGGTATGTGACCCAAATGGTCGTTGGTACACAGCAGATAATGGATGTGGGGTGGGTGATCTCTTACTGATTACCGGCAAAGCGCTTAGTCATGCTACTGCAGGTCTCCGTCCAGCTGCCTCTTACAGAACCGACCATTTGTCTGGCATTGACAATCGCGGAAGGTATGTTTTTGATGACGAAATAAGATTTTCCTGAACAACTTTTATGACAGCTTTTCCTTAACAAACCTTATGACATGGCATGCATACATATTTGATTACAAATTTAAACTTTCCAATTGCAGGGCATCATTAGCTTTTAGGCTTATGCCGAAAAGTAATGCTATATTAGATTGTTCCCCAATAGAAGCAGCCGGCCATGTAATTCCTCAAAGCTATGTGCCAGTATCTGTTAGTCAGTTTATGGATAACCTCTTGGCCGAGAATGACACTATAGTTAATCCGCCTGTGAAAACCAATGTAAGCTCACCCTTTATTACAATAGTAAAATTAGATGTCTAGATTGTAAAAGTACATTTAAATGTATAAAACTTTGATATCTGTGAAGTTCTATGCCAATAGTACCTAATTCTGTTTTTTTTTCCTTGACATTTGGAGCAGAAATTTATTGAGAAACAGTTCATTTTTCCTTTGCATTCTTTCAGATCATGCAATATTATCCTTTAAATAATATCAATCGAGGTTTTAATGAGTGGATGTGCAACTTATATTACTTATGTTTGAGGATCGTCCTTTGGATATTTTTTATGATTGGCACTACCTTGATACTATAATGATATAAGTTTCTCTGTTTTATGTTAACTGCTCAGAGCACAAGGTTTTATGTCAAGAGATCTTCTTCTAAATTGTTGATGTCAGGTTCCGCGGGATGATGTTTGCAAAGAGCCTTCCTTAAGAAGTGTTCTCTCGGATCCAATTTCGTGAGTACCATATTTCCCTTAGTGTATAATTATCTATGACTAACAAAACTGTTCTCTTATTATGGTTAATTTAAATGAATTGCTAACCCATGTTAATCTGATCATGTAAAAAGTACTCTAGCTAGGTTTTCTTAAGTGCTGGGAACTGGCTAGCCCTTTTCCAAATTTAACCTCAATGAGTTTTCTATTCTGTTATAGCAAGTGGTCTAAAACTAATCATGTGTGCCAGGTAGTAGATATACACTGAAGAAATTAGTTTTAGTTGGTCGTCTTTTGTACCTAGATCCATGAGCTGTATTAGATGTTCAATTACTTTCCACCTTTTGTCTGATGCTTTCCACCTTATGCGAAGGCAGTATAGTGAAAACAAGTTCTAATTTGTCTGTTGCAAACTCTTTGATATTAGTGGTGCTTTTCTTGAAGATGCAATGGTTGTCTCTTGTGGACATTCATTTGGTGGCCTCATGCTTAGAAGAGTCCTTGAAATGGTTGGTATTAGTTTCCTTCGATTGTATTTCTCTGCTAGTCTCATGTGATGGTTCTTCCTACATACCCAAGATTGGTAACCACAGTTATCTTATGCACAGTCTAGATGTACGCTCTGCAATGCAGAAATCGAGTCTGGGTCTCTGGTTCCCAACCATGGTAATTCCTATAATGTTCATTGTCTTCTTATTTGTGTACCTCAATAAATAAATTGATCCACGATAGTCTTTTGGGTTTCACATCAACAAACAGTCTTAACCGTATTCCTTTTCTAATGTCAAACACATAGCACTTAGAGCTGCCGCTTCAGCTATAAAGCAACAAGATGACAAAAGACTTTTCCACAACGCAGCCATGAGGAGGCGTAGAAAAGAAATGAGTGATCAAATGGATGTGGTGAGGCAACACTGCTCTATATAACTAAGTTCTTTTGTGGTTTCCTGTTACATTGTTACTATCTCCAAACATATCAGATGCATCATCATCTGTTTTCTGGTTTAGCTTAAGCGTATGTTGTAAATGAACCTCTTATAAAAGTTACTATTTGATCCCAAATTTCTCCCTGCAGGAAAATGGAGATCCAGCTACGGATGATGGAATGCATCGAGTGGTGCATTATCCATTTGCTGTAAATGAGAAAGTGCTTATCAAGGTAGGCCATTATTTTTTATTTTCGGTTATGATGCATTTCTTCTGTCATAGAAATTGGTTCTTGCGTGTTATGGAATGCATTTACAATTGCAGGGAAACCGGAGGACCCCGGAAAAGTTTGTTGGAAAAGAAGCAATCGTGACATCTCAATGTCTCAATGGCTGGTAACTATTACTCTATGATCTATAAGAGCTGAAACAGAACTATGTTTGATAGGTGAAGCGAGTTATTGAGTTTGACTCTCAAACTAGTGCATTTTCATTTGCTTTTCAAATAAAGGTATCTATTAAAGATTGTCGAAAGCGGAGACAATGTGCGGCTGCAATACCGATCCCTAAAAAAGATGGTGAACGATGACAGAGGAGTAGGCTTACACTCTCAACCGGTTGAGAGCAATAGCTTGTAGTATGTAGTCATCATATTTAACCCTTTTCTTTTCTTCTTATTCTGCATTTCTAGAGAGAAAAGAAAAGATAATGTGGTTTGGGGTTTGAGGTTCTGCATAAATTTTAAATCGTTTGGTTAGAAAAAAAGAAAAAATAGTGGAAGACTATTGGAAAGTGGGAACTATATTAGCCTTCTAAGTATTTAGAGGTTATGTACAGAACAAATGTTAGAAAAGAAAAGAAAAACAAGTGTGTTACTCTTGTTGATGTGCTTGCTTCAGAGCAAAATTGGTTTCCGATACAGGATTTCCCATTTTACCAAGTTTCCACTTTTTTTTATATGTAAATGTGTATTCGATCAAGTTGATATATCTAAACTCTTTCGTTACGATGTCTTATTGGTTTGGGACAACACTAGTCACTAGGGTCGTGGTTTGGAACCTGTGTATTGGAATAACCATGTGGATCAAACCTAGAAATTGTACGACTCTTATGTAATAAACCGAATTGTCGAGTTTAATAACGTCACTAGAGAAAATGGAAGTGAATCTTTGGAGTAGCTGTGAACTTCAAAGAATATCCGTATGGGTCGCCAACTTGTGTGCAATTTAACTATGCTGAGAGTTCTTGCATTATCCCCCTTTCATTCTTTTATTCTGTTTTTTTTTTCTCTTTTGTCCATGTCCTTGGAACAACAAGACTAGTGAATTATTTTCATTCTTTTTAATTTATCACATAACTTCAAAAGTTCTTGAACAATATCGTATTGGGCATGTGCTCTAAGTTTTGAGCCTCTAGTATCAAACTAACATTAACTTGGATTCATTGATATCACGAGAAAAACTTTACTTGGAGTCAAGTTCAAAGGTAAAATCACTAAAGGTGACTAGCTAGGTGAGTAACCATGACTATGAGTCGTGGTTTAAAATAGATCAGTTGGTAAACTTGTGGTTGTTTAAAACCTTGTATATGAAGGAGTTTTGGGACATGTTTATGGTTTAAACTTTAAACAACAAAGGTTTTAACTTAAGAGATATTGAGCTTTAGGTCCATAAGTAGTTTCTTGAGTCGCAGACCCAAGCATGTAACATCAATAGACCTTGAAGTGTAGTCCATTTGGAAGGTTCTCTATAGTACATCCGTTGAATATGTTAGGGCATCTCCAGTGGGAGGTACTTTGTAAAGTACTTAGAAAAAAAAATTCAAATTAAATCAAAAATACATTAAAACTGAAGGAACGTTACTTATTGAAGCAATCTGAGAAGCGGTACTTAGATGACGTGGTTCTTTTTTATTGGATACTAGTGATGGACCCGCACGTACGTGCGGGGTTATTTTTGCAAAACTACGATTTTTTTATGTAGATACGATTTTGGTAAAAGTTTGTTATATAATTTTATTTGAAAAATTATACATAGGCATGTAAAATATAGATATTGTTTACTTAATATAGTTTTAAAATAATTTAAATGAAAATGTTAAATGATATTACGTGTTTATTTTTTAAACTAATCAAAACATTTCTAACTGTTTGCTTAGACATGTTAAATCGGATTTGGATTTGGCTTTAGTTTGAATTATTGTACGTATAGTTAGGAATGAGAAACCTGTCCCGTCCCGACCCGTCCCTTCCTGTCTCGTCCCAACCCGTCCCGTCTCGTCCCGTCCGGACCCGTCCTGTCTGTATCGTCCTCTATCCATCATATATTTCTGTCCCACAATCGTTTCTTTTTAAAAACATAATTATTTGCTAAGGTTTATTATAAGAAACTTGGCAAGAGATCTAGACGGAATACTCGTATTCCTCGTTTAAATATTTATTTTTTCACATTAATAAAACTCTACTTATAAATCTAAGTCACATGCTCCCACCATTTTCATTCACAAGTCACTGCTTCTAATCCGAGTATACACAATCCTTGTTCAATTTTTAATGTTATTGATCGTTCAATTTCATCTTTATTTCCCATTACTTTCTTCAATTCAAAGAATCAAATTTAGCTTTTTTGTTTCCTAGAGATTTAGGTATTTCTATTTTTTTAATTCATAGGTTTATTGTAGTTTTGCTGAGTTAGCTCTCAGGGTTTTTTTTTTGTTTCACTTGAATTGTATGTGAGTATCTTTATATACGGTATAATATAATAATGAATTACAAAAATAATTGACTTCTTTATTCTTATTATTATATATTTAGTTCATACATATTGGTTATGTTTCTTTGTATTAAATATTTTAACTATTATCGAACATACTTTAAGTTTTTTTAATTTTCACTTTGAACATTTTTATGCTAGATGATGTAAACAAAATTACATATAAAACTGCAAGCGTTAATTAATTTTAATTGTAACATGTTCTAAGACTTTTGTATGAAAATATATGCTTACATTCCGTTCGGATCTCTTTACATCCCGTTCCCATCTTGTATAATATTTTTACTCTTGTTGCATAAGATTAAAATCATTTTGCAGAAAGTAATCACAAAATCATGTATCGATTTGATTAAAAATAAAGTAATGTGTTTAATGCAATAAAATAATTCAATTTTTATTATTTTGGCTAGATATGATATTTATTTATAATACGGTTGAAAAATATATTTCATTTTATACAATTACAATTTTGATTAGTGACATATATATTCAAAAAAAAATGAAATCAGCCCTTTTTGTTGAATTAATTATTTTAAGACTTTATATTATTTTGAATATAATTATATCAGTTGTACCTATATATGTGGGATAATGTTTTTAGATATTTATAGTATATCATTTATAGTTTGGATTCATACATGTTTGACATTTAGTTTGGTTTCAGTTAGATAGTTAAGGATTTTGTTCTTAACTACTTGATTGTTTTTTCTTTTCGAAACTTACTTAGAAGACGTAGAAATTAAATCATAAAAATATAATCCATTTATTATTTAAAATTTGCTAATAAAACATAACAATTATTTTATATCCACT